AGAGAGAGAGAGAGAGAGAGAGAGAGAGAGAGAGAGAGAGAGAGCACGCAAGAGAGAGAGAGAAAAAAAAGGAGACACACACGCACACACACACACACACACACACACAGGCACCAGACGACGGGGGCAGTGATCGCCCGCTGCGGCCAGCCGGAGGTGAGCTGGTGGGGCTGGAGGAACGCTGACGATGAACACCTGGTTCAATCCATCGCTAAAGCCTGCGCTGTGGTGGGATCCTCCAGGAAACACCTCACCAACGGGGGGGGGGGCTACAGCAACGGCACCGACCTGCCAGACACTGACTTTGGTAAGAGCTTAAAGGCCTCCTATTATACTATTTTTAGGCATACATGATAGGTCTCAGATATATACCGTTTATAAAAACATGTCCAGATTTACAGGAACTCAAGATGCTATTGGCCTTAAGGCGTTTCTTTAATTGACCCATTAGTTGTTCTGATAACCTCAACAGTAACCGTACTGCTGTACGACCTGGGTCGCATTGTGACGTGTCCTCTCTGTGCTCCTGTGTGTGTATCAGAGTCCTCCATGACCCACAGCACGGAGGTGGAGACGTTGGCCTCGCAGCCTCACAAGCTGCTGATCCTGGACGCTCGCTCCTACGCCGCTGCTGTGGCTAACCGGGCCAAGGGGGGCGGCTGCGAATGCCCAGGTAGGTCTCCTCAAACCAGATAGGAGCAGGTCGTGGATCCAGGGAAATGTGATTGTTTCTGTGTGAGAAATGAAAACCTCCACCTTTTTTATTTGTATTTTTATCTTGTTTGTAAACAATGTGTGCATTTTGACTATTTGTATCTTGAATTGGAAATGTTACTTTCAACTTTGTCCTTTATGAAACCCTTGTGCTCCTGCGGTTCCAGAGTACTACCCCAACTGTGAGGTGGTGTTTATGGGCATGGCCAACATCCACTCCATCCGCAAGAGTTTCCAGTCTCTGCGTTTCCTCTGCACTCAGATGCCCGATCCATCCAAGTACGTCTCACTTTTGCTCCTCCAGATTTCCCCACCTAACTCTGCAGGATCAAACTCAGAGCTCTGTGCTGTAACCGTAGGTAACACAGCTGTGTTTTGGTGTTGGCTGGCCGTACATCTGTGCCTGATTTAGAAACCCCGAGAGCAGGATCTGTTTCCATCTGGACGCTGCGAGGACGTGTCATTTAATCGCTCTTGCTTACGTTGTTAAAAGTGGTTCAACGATCGTATCGGGAGACGAAAAATCTAACAAAGTCCATTCTCAAGTACATCCAGTACATGTTCATGTTCACTATGGGTTGGATTGTATATTTAATATTGCCTAAAGTGTCTTTTGCACACAATTAAAATCTCACAAAAGCAATTTCCTAATGTGTTTAATATACAATGCATGATTGCCTATAGACTGAACTTGTAGACTTTCCCAGTTTAGATTTCCAATTTCCGACCTTCAAGCGGTTAATCCCAAACGTAAACAAAAACAATCTCTGACTGGGGGCAACATTTAGTTTTCCCTGACTCGATTTGTCTATACATGAACTTTGATCAAAACACAAAACAACTTTACAGGCAGAATAAGTACCAAAAACACAGACATCATTTTTTTATTATTACTAAAAACAGTCGAATATTCTCAATTTTTTGTTATTTTTATTTTGTTTATTTATTTAATTATTTATTTAATTCATTTTTTAAATGTCATTATTGTTATTTATTTATTGTTAATTTTTTAGTTTTTCAATATTATTATTATTATTATTATTATTATATATATATATTTCTTAATATCTTCTAACATTTAATTTTTACATCAGGCAGCTGCTTCTCAAAGAAGTCGGGGAAGATGTTCCCAGAATTGACATGCTGATGTTTATTCATCATTTTCATTAAAAACAGTCAAATATTCTTAATATTTTTATTATAATTAAATGTATTGTACATCTTATTATTCTTACAATATAATTTATATGATCCTACATTGTTGTGGTGCATCAGGCGGCTGCTCTTCCATGAAAGGTGGGAAGATGGTTTCTCCAAAGTTGTTTCTCTAGTGTTTTATTGCCAAAAATGTCTCGTCCGTCTCGCTCACAGAGGCTCCATGTTTATAGACTAAACACTCATAACGCTAAGGATAATAAAGCAGATAAGGCAAGGGAAACATTAACTCATAATTGAAGTAGGTCAAAGTGTGTGCGTGTCTCCATCCGGTTACATTACACTGTCCAAAAGGGCAAAGTCATGAGCTTTACTTCACCAAACACCTGCATAATAACACCTGTGGCCACCAGGGGGCAGGAACACATCCCAGTCTTTGTAACTGTAGAGATACACTGACTTTCATGTGCTTCTGGGCACCAGTGCAAATATCATTTATTTGTGTATCTCCAGCTCTGTAACGGCTGACTTTGCCCTCCTCTTGTTTGACGCTGAGCAGATTGAGAGATGATCTGATCATTTGAGCACTTATTCATTAAAGAGGCTCTATTATGGGTTGTCCCTTTCCTGTAGGATGTTATATAGGTTTTTTTTGTGTGCATGTAAATGGTCTGCAGAGGCTACAATTCCTTCGTTAAGCGCTCCAACACATTGTACGTTGACCAATCACAACAGAGTCGTCCAGCTAACCAATCAGAGCAGACTGGGCTCTGGTTTCAGACAGAGCTTAGTCCAGTGTTTCTCAAACCTTTTCATACCAAGGACCACTTAACCAATAAAAAAACACTCGCGGACCACCTAACTCCACAAATATAATAATATAATAATAATAACAGATTACAAATTGCCTGAAAATGGTACAAACAGGTGGCAACATGTGTGACTAAGGTGTTGTCCCTGAAAGTGAAACTTAAGCTCGCTCCATTGCGGAGATTTTCCCGCGAGAGTGCGGAAAACTTAAATTTATTTATTTATTTTGAATGTGAAATTTGACCAATATACTCACGGACCACTAGGGGGCGCTCACGGACCACCAGTGGACCGCGGGGATACGTTTTTTGATTGAATGTTGTATTTTGCCTGCTACTTTTTCAGTATATTAGAGATATTATGTGAAGTGTTTAGTTAAACAGACATTAGAATAAAAATGAGAATGATGGATGTTGAAAAACAAGCTAATTGAATCTATAGAGATGTTGTTGACGGGCGTTGCAAACCGTAAGAAGCTATAAATGCTGCGGTATGTAGCACGAGGCCATGATCTGTCCTCATGAATCATATGGACTGTCACTGAGAGGCACATGAGGTCTGATGGATGAACCGTCCAGATCTCTCAGGTCTTCTGGTCAGCTTCCTGTCCCCACAGTCAGAACTAAACCTGGAGAAGTTCAGTTTATGCTCCAAACATCTGGATCAAACTCCCACAAACCTGCAGGTCTGCTGCGACTCTGACTACTTTTAAATCCAGGCTGAAGACTTTTCTCTTTGCCGCTGTGTGTGTGCGTGTGAGATGAGCGGGCGCTGTGTCTGGTGGAGACCTTGTCTACAAAGCAGATCAGTTTCCACTCATCAGATGGTGTGTGTGTGTGTGTGTGTGTGTGTGTGTGTGTGTGTGTGTGTGTGTGTGTGTGTGTGTGTGTGTGTGTGTGTGTGTGTGTGTGTGTGTGTGTG